CAGTGCTTGAATTTCTTGAATAATGCGGCAGAAATGAGCTAGTTCGTGTCTGCGCGAGTAAAGGACGAAGGCACCCTTGCAGGAAGAGATGGGTGGATCACTATCTACTGTGGACACAATCTGATCATATTATATGTAAAATGCAACAACTGCCTCTTTAAGCGATCACCATCTGCCCCACCAAAGGTCATCCTTGTCTACCTCGCCTGTTCCCTCCAAAAGCAGAGGCTAAGTGAGAAATGTCGTTATCATCCCACAAATCAGGCGCATTGTGCTCAAGACACATATGCATCTTTTGAATGAAGATAATGCACATTTTCGCATGCTTTTATGAAGTTTAAAGCGTAGTTCAATAGTGGTTTGCGGCAATCCTCGAGTCAGTGGTATAAAGCGGTCACGGTCATGGTCATCAGACCGGAATACCCGTTGGAGGCTCGATGATGGTGGATCCAACCGTCTCTTTTAACCAAAGTCAAAGGAAATGAACACCTACTGCACAACAGGCATAATTACGATAGGTATTCAGACATCCTATGTGACACACTTTTCCCATCAAAAAGCGTTTCTCAGAGTAATGAATCTAAATGCTTTTCGCTTTATGCGAGTCGGTGTACTTTTGATTAGATAGCATAAACCGGTTTCGGTGCATTATTTGTGTTCTAAGCTGCCAGTGCTTACACCTTCCATTAATGTGCAAATTTGGCTCCATTATAAAATTCCCCATTGAGTACCTGTTTGATCAACTCGTGGAGGTTTGACAGGTGATGGTAAATGTGACGCTTGCCAAGACGTCTTTATGCAACGGAGGATGGGGCGGAGCGTCACTGGGCATTTACCCATTAGTGTGTGCGATGTCAGACGTAATCAAGACATGCATTTACGTGAAAGGGAGTAAGAAAAATATGTGACTCCAAAAGCAATCAGTGACCTTATGCTGAGATAAACGAAAACCTGCACACTTATGAACAAAAATTACTTGCCATATTACCCAGTTAAGTGAACTTCTGAAACGAAAGTGTGAAATGCATGATTACGCAAACATTTATTTTTGCTACATTTTGCATAGTAAAAGTACAGGGTTGCTTAGATTTGCCTAGGTAAAAAACCACATTATTACTTTTAGTTTTGCCTGAATGTTGTCACCTCATTTTTTTGGGACAACAACTTCCTATCCCCACTGAAAGTATTTCACTCTAAAATTCAAATTAAAATTCGAATTATAGAGCCACAAGTTTCGTAGTAGACCAACTATTTGGCCGTCGAAAATCATCAAGAATGCTTTACCATAGTAGTAGCACAGGACAAATTTTATCAGTGTTTACAAACTTAATACATATCAGAACGAAATCTAAGGGCGAACCACGTTGCACAACTTTTTGCTTTTAGCAATTTGGTACTGATTACTTTTGTACCCTCGTAACTTCTACG